TAAATTATGCTCTAAACTTGGTCACATCAGTGAATATTACTGTATAACAGTACACTGTGCGATTTATCAAAATAAAATCTTATCCATAATGAAAACGACCTGTTGTCAAGGTCACAGGGTAAACAACATCTACATGATACGCCTATTCATCAAGTGTATTAGAATAAAATGTGTAATGATACTCCACTTAACTCATACATGCTGTATTGAATGTCCTCAGCGAAATCACAATAAACGACATGTAGCCCCCGTTAGTCTAAGTCACGTAGAAAGGTGTAGACTTCTTGACTGACTGGTTGGGGTCCTCGGGACAATTGATGATATGGCTCAAAATCGTCGTTGTCAATAATGACTAATGCAGATGCATCCACTCCCTGAAAATATATTGTTCTTAGTTGATACTATTCCTTTTGTCTCACACCTCTGTTTACTGACTCTAATATGAATTTCTTCTACTTTCTTATCTTCTTTGTGTACTACAAGGAGTAAAACGTGGCGACATGAACTGGTGCACATCGGTGCAAACGTTCTGTGTTGAAAACTGATATGTATCCATATATACATATATATATATATATATGTTGGTCTCTCTTTCTGTTTGCTCGCTTAGTCTGTGACCATTTCACTTGTATGAACCTGTCTCCTTTAACAATGTATATTCTCCTTATATTATATTATATATAATATGAGTGTTTGTTGACAGTCCGTTGCTTGGTGACATATATCCATATATGGTGGTTGTTGACATGTCTGCTATATTTCGCTATGTATATATGGATCGATACTTCATTATAATTAGCCATTCATGTTAAGACTGTCTAATGATTTGTTAACACACTTTGTCTGGAACATTCATATATATTTCGCATTCACAATTTGTGTGACTTACTTACACTCTTTGGTGTGATACCACTTATTTGCATTCTTCTTGTGTTTGGAAAATAGAAGTATCATCGCAAACCTAGTGGTCTTCTGATTTCCGCCTCCCTGCGTCAGGACTATTACATTCTCGACCAGACCATAATAATAATTTAGCGACGAGTACATAACAAAAACAGACAGACATGTAGCTAAGTTACTGAAATGACAGAGGATCAACTATGATTGTGAAGTAGAATTTGCACACCCACACACACATTTATTCTAATGTATCTATTTGATGAACAACTTGATGATAATAACATGTCCTTCACCTTCAATCCTTTCCTATCATAATAATTGTGCATAATTGGAGGGTCATTCAAAACACTGAAGAGGTTGACATTTTCAAACTAGACTAGACGAGTCATATTGTAGATGTACTAATGAACTGAACCTTAACTGACTTCCTCGACTACTGGATTGACTTGTTACCGTCAGGGAATAATCTCGTTGACTTAGAATAATGAGGATGATATAGTCCATCTCGGTGAGCAGAAATCTTCGAGTATTCCGCATGCCGTTTTCTCTGCTGTCATGTGTAAGATAAAGCTATACAGGACTGGACTACATCGACTCACTCCAAGTTTACATATAAGGAGTGAAGCAGTGGTTGATGGAGCGTGTTCATCACTTCACTTCACTTATTTCAGGGGAAGTTGCATTAATCAACTCCAACTGGTTAATCGCTAACAAAATCTCAGCACGGATACAGAAGGTTCGTTTGGCATGTGCAAACTTACGTCATCCACCTATGGCTTGGTAGACGTAATATCCGGCTATCGACCAAAGGGCGTGTGTACTACTCAGCAGTTTGCTCTGTCCTACGTTATGACTGGCCATTGAAAGTGGACGAAATGAAAAGGCCAGCTGATCATAAGTGTCTGAGTTTTATCTCCCATGATGTTAAGTGGTATAATAAGGTTTAATTATTACTCTGCTATTTTATTTTAGTTGGTATTACTATTATTACTACAATTTTATACTTTATGCATATTTTTCACCGTATTGCATACAGTATTTTGATATGTAGCTGCTGTAACAATCGTTTTATTATTATTATGTAAGTGTATTTATAATTTCTTTTGTGGTTTTCGAGTAAATTAGATGCAATATTGTACTGAATGCTGAAAATTCCTTGCTGTATCATTAGTACTGTTTTTGGAATAAAGCTATTATTATTATTATTATTAGGCATCGGTCGAGTGCCAGGTAAGGAGGGAGACAAAATCAGTCGACGAGTTGTGAAATTACACCGACTGGGGTGATTAGGACATGTGCTACGCATGTCTACCTAGCCTACCCACTGCCTTCCTCGACGGGATATGTTATCTGATATAGGATGGATCCAATTGGAAAAGATCTAGTGGCCGGTGGTCAAACAAAAACATAGTATCACTTCATGACATCTTAAACAGTTAGTTTGAGCCACATAGGGAGGCGCTGACTTCCTGGTTAGAGTCCACGGGATGGTAAAAACCAATGAAGGCAGGAGACAATAGGTGATATGGTTCAAAGCAATTCTTAATGGTGGAGATGTATTTACTCCCTGTGATCTACCGTTACCACGAAACTCTACTCTTATTCCATGCTACTATTCTTCCTCTCTCACATTTTTTGCTTATTATCGTTCTTTCGAGTCCTTTTTCTCTCTCTCTCTTCCTTTGAGTGCCACATGGAGTGTGAAAACTTAAACTGCTGCACTTTTGCGCAAAGTTCTGTGCTGATACCTCAGTCTGTCAGTTTTAAAGTTTTTCAACGTTTATGACAGTCCTTACTACAATAAATGAATAGAGCTCAGTAACCATAACCTAATAATAGCGCACTTGCTGAAAATATACATTCGTTGTGTTTAGTAACACCTACCTGGGAAGCATCGTTTCAACTACAGGCGGACGGAACTGACGAGAACATCAAAGCCAGAATCGGAAAAGCAAGACAAGCTTTCATTACTCTCACCAAGTCTGTGTGGAAGTCAACAGCACTCAGCATCAAAAATAACATCTGGATTTTCAACTCTAATGTGAAGTCAGTCAGTGCTACTCACTCTATACGGATCAGAGACTTGGAGCTGGGTCATAAAGGGCATCTCTAACAAACTACAGACCTTCATTAACAGTTGTCTTCGCTCAATACTACTCAAGATCAGATGGCTGGCCAGAAAAGATCAGCAACAGGGACGGATCTCTGGCAATGAGCGAACCAACGAGGAACCGATTGTGAAACAAATAGGCAGGAAGAAATGGAGATGGATGGATTGGTCATACGCTGGGGAAACCATCAAGTAACATCACCAGACAAGCCATGGCTCGAGTGGAACCCGAAATGGAAGCGGCGAGTTGATCGTCAGTGCAAGAGTGACTTGGAGGAGGTCATATGAAGAGGAGAGGAGATGAAAGCATGTGGGCAGACTTGGAGCGAGGTGAAAAAGTTGGCAGAAAACAGAAGGCAATGGAGATACGCAGCTGAAGCCCTATGTTCCTCTAGGAATTAAAGGATACAATAATAATAATAATAATAATAATAAATAATTAACACCCAGACACACACATGAGAATTAGTAGCTGAGAATCAAGTGTCGAAAATTATGAGGCCACGACAATACTCAAGCTTATATGTTAGAAAATAGTGATGCTAAATGACATCTGATGAGTACAACAACATCGTGTCTTTAAAAAAAACGAATATCGCAATTTCACACAATACATTACACATCATAAACAAATATTATGGTATGTTAGCTACGCATTGTTTGACCAAAATTCATCAGTATGCATACTTATTTATCTCCCTTATAGGTTTAACAAATTAGACTGGATACTTCGTTTTTTTCAAAGTCACATTTACGCATAACTCGGAATTTTACTATATATTTTCTAGGCGTTAACCTGTTTAGATGAAATGAGAGACAGCATGTGCAAATAATTATAGAATAGCTTGTTATTTAGACCGCAGAATTTCGGAGAAAATTGACAAGGCACTCAACCTATCATCGACTGAAAACGATGACGAACAGATATTGAGGTAGGAACAAGAATCCTCAAACTCATCGATATTTTGAAGACAGTGTAGTAATCGATGCTAGTATCGTATATGCCCGTTTACGACGTCTCTGGCTTAGTAGACGTGATATCCGACTGGTGATCGACCAAAGGACGTGTATACTGCTCACCAGTCCACCCCGTCCTCCTTTATGACTGGCTGTGAGGCCTGGTCATTGAGAGTAGAGGACATGAAAAGGCTAGCCGGCTATCTGTCTTTGATCATAGGTGCCTGCGTTCTACCTCCTATGTGTTAGCAATATTGAGGTTAAGCATCGGTCGAGTGCCAGATAAGGAGGGAAGGGAAATCAATCGACGAGGCTGTGAAGCTACATCTATTGAGATGGTTAGGAGATGTGTTACGTATGCCTAGTCATCGCCTTCCTCGACAGTGTGCAATGTCAGCTGACATAGGACTGATGAGAATGGAAAAAAGAGAGCCAACGGTGGTCAAACCGGACCATGGCTTCATCAGTCAATGAAATCCACAATAGTTAGTTTAAGCCAGCCAGACAGCCAAGTAGGAAGGTGTAGACTTCCTGACTGGTTGGGGTCCTCTGGATGGTAAACACCGATGGCTGGAGACCATTCGTGATATTGCTCAAAATCGTTCTCAATGGATAACGCAGATGCATCCACTCCTTTAACTTATGATTTCCAATGAAACTGTTTTGTTCTTCGTTATTACTATTCCTTTTGTCTCATATTTCTGTTTACTGTCTCTAATATGCATTTCTTCTACTTTCTTCTCTTGCTTTGTATGCTACAAGGAGTGAAGTGTGGCAACTTGAACTGGTTCACATAGGTGCAAAATTCTATGCTCAAACCAGTCAGTCAGTCACTCAGCCAGTGAATAATCGATGCAGGTATTAGTGATGAAAATGATGATTACACTAAATACGCTTATACCCCCTAACCCTCACCCTGGCTAGCAAAACAGGCATTCTATAGTAAATTATAATATAATCAGATATATTTTCATCGTATATATATATAATCTGGGAATCACAGCTGTACAGCTTTTTTTTTCTTAATTACCGGTTATAACGCTGCGGCTGCTTCTTTCTTCTGACGTTTTCTCTCCGCTTCTTCTTCTCGTTCTTTTTCAATGGCTTCCACATATTTTTGAATATCATCACTATCCAGCACCTAAAAGAAAAGAAATATAAATATATAATTTGATGAATAAACATTTACAAATAGCTGGCAAATTTTACTCTTTTATCAGTAAATTAGACAATAAGTTTTACAATGAGATGATTCAACCTGAACTAAGACTATCTGAGTCTATCTGACCTTATTAGATAATTTTTCGTACAGACAACAACTACAACAGCAACAAAAAAAAACTCAAAAATTGCCAGATTCTAAAGATTTTATCTGACTGTCTATTTGATTCCTGTAATAAAAAGGTGATAATTTACGCCTTCTATGAGCTGTAACAACTAGTAACCGAGGTTATAGCAAAAGAACAATGATAGGTAGTTACCCGGGGTTCTAGTGAGAAGTCGTGACTAGTAGGGTGCAGCAGGTCGGGTGTGAGGACAAATACTCGCCACCAATGACATTGGCTAGCGGTTGCGCTATATCGTGAATTGGCAGAAGTTAGATTTTAAGTGCCATTGGATCGGGTCCCAGTGGCTTAATGGTATATGAGCTCGCCTTGTACCCAGAAGGTCCTGGGTTCGAATCTCGGCGGTGGGTGCGTACTGATGAAGGGTACCGAACTAGGACGAAACAGCTGTCCAGTACTCCCTGCAGGTTTTCCAATGGTTCTCCAAATAATGTCAGCTCATGATGAAATTCTATAAACCAATCAAATCCCTACAAACCAACACTTGAAAAGAACAATGACCTGATAACTATTATATAAATCAGACTAAGAATCTCAGCTTAACGTGTAAAGTTTAGGGTCTTATCCCCTCCCCTCCCTTATTACAGGTACCAAACATTCAATTTAAAATAAAAAGGATACCTATCAGTAGTTGCCTGAAATCTCTGTGTAAGTATTTCAAATGTGTTTATGAGAACAGATTCATGGGATTTTTTATTTCAAAAGACACTTATCCTTCTCATTCTTACATACATTAATCGCCATATAAACCAGATAGGCAGTAGTACGAGTTTAAGTGGCTCTAATTTGCTACAGCAAAAATTCAACTCCAGTGTGAAGTCAGTGCTACTATACGGATCAGACACTTGCACTGCGCGTCATAAAGAGCATCTCAAACAAACTACAGACCTTCATTAACAGTTGTCTTCGCTCAATACTACTCAAGATCAGATGGCTGGCCAGAAAAGATCAGCAACAGCCATCTCTGGGAGCGGATCGACCAAGAACCGGATTGTGAAACAAATAGGCAGGAAGAAATGGAGTTAGATGGATTGGTCATATTCTGAGGAGACAAACCATCAAGTCTGTCTGTCTGGATTCAACATAGAACTTGGCACCGAAGTGCACCAGTTCGAGTTGCCACGTTACAAATAGCACACAGAGGTAGACAAGAAGATGAGTGAAGAGAATCAATACAGTCTGACAAGTATAAGAGTGAAACGGAATGGGTAATGGTAGGAAGGAATATGAAAGATTACAGAGACTGAATACATCTGAGCTGGCCGTTGACAACGATTTTGAGTCATGCCACCTATTGTCGCCAGCCATTGATTCCTAGAGTCCCGAGCGCCCCAACCCGGAAGTCTTCATCTCCCTACCTGACTCAGTTTAACTGTCAAGGATTTCATGGATTGATGAGGCCATGTTTTTGTTTGGCCACCGCTGGCTCTTTTCCAACCTGAACCTATATCAGCTAGCAATGCCCGTCGGGGGAGGCGATGGTTAGGCATGCGCAGCACGTGACCTAGCCATCTCAGTCTATGTAACTTTATAGCCTCGTCGATTGATTTTCCCTGTTTGCCCGACACTCTACGCCTTACGTCAACATTACTTACCTTATTAAACCACCTAACGTGAGACAGAGATCGCAGACATCTATGATCGAAAGCAGTCAACCTTTTCATGTCTTCAACTCGTATTGGCCATGTTTCAGAGCCATAGACAAGGACGGAGAGAACTGATGAGCAGTACACACATCCCTTGGTTGATAACCGGATGTCACGCCTACTCCAGAGATGGTGTAAGTCAGCGAAAGCAGCTCGAGCTTTTTGGATCCGTGGTGAGATTTCATCGCCAATCAGTCCGTTGGGGCTGATACAACTTCCCAAACAGGTGAAGTGGTCAACATATTCTATCACTTCACTCCCTATCGCTAAGTTAGGAGTTGACGTGGTCCAGTCCTGTAGCAGCATCTTACATTTTGTAAGGGCGAATCGCATGCCAAACATACGAAGATTGCTGCTCAAGGTGTTTAGAAGACTCTGCATTTTGTCAGCATCCTCCCGTAACAGGACTATGTCATCTGCATATTCTAAGTCCATAAGATTATTCCCTGGTAACAAGTCGATTCCTAAGTCGTTACGTTAAAAACAACCATCAAGTGATATCACTAGACAAGCCAGTGCTCTAGTGGAACCCGAAAGGGAAGCGGCGAGTTGGTCGTCAGTGCAAGAGTGACTTGGAGGAGGTCATATGAAGAGGAGAGGAGATGAAAGCATGTGGGCAGACTTGGAGCGAGGTGGAAAAGTTGGCAGAAAACAGAAGGCAATGGAGATACGCAGCTGAAGCCCTATGTTCCTCTAGGAATTAAAGGATATCATCATCATAATAATAATAACAGAAATAGAATGATAACAATGAAAAACGCAAAATAATTGAGCAACGAATATCCTCGTCGATAAATTCCTCTTCTGGCTCTACAATTATATATATATATATATATATATATATATATATATATATATATATATATAATTGTAGAGCCAGAAGAGGAATTTATCGACGAGGATATTCTTTATACACAATGTTTGCAGAGGAGATGATCAAACTACACTGATTGGCAAATATACCAAATTTATAAAAACACATTCCTACTAGCTCTATTAAACTGCAGTCATGACAGACTCTGCGTTTTCCGAAGACTAAATAGTATCTACTAATGGTTTTGCAAGTTCACTTCATTGGGCTGAAAAAAAACAGACAACTTAGCCGAAAGATTTCCGCTCTGAGCGAACTGTGCCAACTATCTCCTGACAAAATCAGGGTGAATTTTGTGAACTCACTCTACTTGACTTCTGTGAGCAATCCACGCCTTGTATGCACTATAAAGTTTCATCTAGTATATCTTGTTATCTGATTTGGACAATGAAAGCTAATATAGGAAGAAAGACTCTGGCGTAGACGAGATGTTCGACTATCGACCAAAGGGCGGGTGTACTGCTCATCAGTCCGCTCCGTCCTCCTTTATGGTTGTGAGACCTGGTCACTGAGAGTGGAAGACATGAAAAGGCTGGCTAGCTGTCTTTGATCATAAGTGCCTGCGTTCTATTTCCCGTGTAAAGTGGCATAATAAGGTGAGCAACATGGAGGTTAGGCGTAGAGTTCTAGGTAAACAGGGGAAATCAATCGACGAAGTCGTGAAGCTACAAAGACTGAGATGGTTAGGACATGTGTTACGTATGCCAAGCCATCGCCTCCCTCGACGAGCAATGTTAGCGGATATAGGGTCAGGCTGGAAAAAAGCTAGCGGCGGTCAAACAAAAACTTGGCTGCACCAGTCAATGAAATCCACAACAGTTGGTCTAAGCCACGTAGAAAGGTGTAGACTTCCAGGCTGGGGTCCTCGGGACGGTAAAAATCTATGGTTGGAAACAATTGGTGACATGGCTCAAAATCGTTCTCAGTGGCTAACGCAGATGCATCCACTCCCTGTGACTTATGATCTCCAATGAAACTGTTTTGTTATTCTTTATTCTCCTTTGTCTCACACCTCTGCTCACTGTTTCTATTATGCTTTTCTTGTACTTTCTTCTCTTGCTTCGCGTGCTACACGGAATGTGGCGACTTGAACTTCCGCACATTTGTGCAAAGTTCTATGTCGAAAACAGACAGAGACAGACAGAATATAGGAAGTTAGAAGCCTGAACAAGGAAGTGACTCCGTTTCAAGTCACTGACAATAATTATACAATTGATAGATTGTAACCCGTCTGAACAACGGCATTACGAGTAGAGCACCCTGGTAAATTGTGATAATAATAATAATAATCGAAGTGTGTCGACAATTGATGCGTCCAGACTCTCACACCATAAATGATTCCTTTTAGCTTCGTGTGACCGTAGAGTCTATGGAACAACTGCTTAGGCGAAAGTCAAACACCACTTTTGAAGTTGAAGTTTCGTCCTTACACACACACAGAAGAACATATCGTGAACTACCGTCTGCTATAGGATAACATATAGGTGTTTAAAGTTCTCGGTGTCAACCTATTATAACCTGCCTCCCCCCCCCCAGAGTTGGTGTTACTAGTTTGCACTGAATAAATCCATATACGATTCTTCAACAAAGTAATGAATCACTACAGTTAGCACTTTTGATGTGAGAATGCTTGATTTCAGACTCGGAAAACAGACGTATATCTATTTCTAAAAGCACTAACAAGTCAGTTACATCAAATAACTCGAGTGGAACATTTCGACGGTGACTGAGACATATGTATTCTTTCATTAACCCAAGTATACCAGAGAAATTTAAACAGTAGATTGCTGGCAGTTAACGCCTTAAAATATTGAATCAGTAATATATATATATATATATATATATTCATTTTTGTAAGGCAGTTTTACTGTTTCCAGCTAAAATACTCAAGAAAAACAAACAATCCCTAGGGGACACAGAAATACCTGATGTTAACGAACAAAAAGACCTAGGAATCATTGTCAGCAACGATTTGAAAACAACTGCAAATTGCAATGTAGCCGCAGCTAAGGCTTTTCGAATGCTATGGGCACTCTGAAGGGCTTTCAAACGATTAGACGAGGGCATGTTCAAAATACTCTACGCAACATATGTCAGGTCTCATCTAGAATACTGCACACAAGCGGCGAGTCCATGCTTCAAAAAGGGGGCACATATCCTGGAAAGAGTACAGAGAGTAGGAACGATATTAGTTAGTGGTATCTTACACCTTTGTGCGTCGGTGGCACAGTGGTTAGGACTCTCGCCGACCATGCACATGGTCCGGGGTTCGAGCCCACGCCGACGCACACCTGATATCTATGGTCGGCCTGCGAAATTTGGGCTACCGATATCCACGCTGAAAATTCCATACTTGTACAAAAAATACGGTGTGGAATCAAGCTGTAATCAAAAATAAATAAAAAATAAAATAAAAATAAATAAAAGGATGGAGCATTTAAATGTCTTCTCGTTACCATACCGAAGGAAGAGTGGCAACTTAATTTTAGCATACCGTATACTTAAGGGTGATTTAGGAACTGACCTTTCTCACCTTTTCTTCCCTTTTAGGATACATTTACGGGGTCACCGCAAAAAGGCACTCAAACCGAGGACGATTAAAATAAGTGCAGAATTTAGATTCTCTTACAGAGTGGTCTACGACTGAAACTCCGTACCTGATTCAGTAGTATCAGGTACATCAGTGAACGCTTTCAAAGAGAAGTTATATCTTTGCAGAGATATATTTTGCAAGGATTAACACAGGCCACAAGAGCCTACTGTCTTAATTATCTGAATCTGAATCGAGCAAATAAACAATCTTACTTCCAAACGGTGTATCTAATCACTTGATTTCAACAAGTACTATGCATGAAAAAAGCAGTTATCAAAATAACACGTTTCTAGAATTCCATTCTACGTTTTGTCCATGGCGTGAACTGCAAAATATTACGTAGCGATGAATAATAGGTCTAGTTACTGGTGCTACTTTAAATCTACCTTGTGATCTGCAGTTGTGAATGGACCGATGTTTGTTAAGTAATTCTGTTAAAATGCTTCTTTAACATAAGATAATCCCATTTAAAGCAGGAATTCCTGTCCACTCACCTAAAACCATTAAGAAATGTATAGGCTACAGGCCTATGCAAAGATTTTGTGGACTTTGACAAAAATACAACAAAACATGGTTAACATTAACACATCGACACAAGCCTTCAAGTTATTCAGGCATAATAAATGTAAACTTTCAATTATAAATGTAAGCTGGAAGAAGAATTGTAACGTACTTGCCAGTCAACAAAAGGATCTTCGGGCTTTGCCGGTGCTTTCCATCTCATTACACCTAACTCCATGTGTTTAGCACCTGACTGAGTTACTTCCATAAGGGCCTCAACTGCAAGCTTCACAGTTCCAAATTCATCCGATACAGTATTTTCAGTGTAGTTCTTTTCTAAGAATTCACGTGCTACTTTTGAGTTTTTACCGATGACATAGGCCTAAAAGTTACTTAAAATAATTAGGACTTACCAACCACTCAAAATAAGTACCGGACGGATCAGTCTGATATAGATGTGGTGTACCACCTTGGTTGAATCCACATATTAAAGTCGACACGCCAAAAGGCCGACGACCATTACTCTGAGTGTATTTTTGCTTTAACTGAGCCAAGTATCTTGCAATATATTCCAAAGAAACTGGATCCTCAACGGTCAATTTGTAACTTTTGCATTCCACTCTAATCCTACTTATCAAAACACGTGCGTCAGCAGTGAGACCTGAAACATCGAAAGTAGAGACTACAGATTACCTGCAAAGGCCACTGCGACGTGATCATCAACAAGAGCGATTTTTCCTACGGTTCTGTCATTCTGTAGCCTAGTTTTCACCTTCTTTTCAACACACAATACAACACAGTTTTTTCCTCTGACACCAATCTATGATGAAAACTAGGCTACTCAAGAAATTTACTTACTACAGTCGAACCTTTCCTAACTGCCTCTTGAGCGTATTCTACTTGGAAAAGATGACCATCGGGAGAGAATACTGTAATTGCTCTGTCATACGTCGCCGTCATGACGCAGAAACACCGTGAAGAGGAAGCACGGATAACTATATATATATACAGCACGCAGGGAAAAAATGTGAATGAAAAGCAGAACGTAGATATCGTTGAAACACTTTGTAAATAATAACACGAGAGCTATACACTAAAAGAAACCTAGGCCATCATCGTCTATCTGCCACCGGTTTTTGAACTAACACCTTTGTCAGAATTTCATCCACTGCACTAATCAAAGTGATTCAGCTAAAGTGTTTGGCGGCAGGTGTTCAATAGAATATGGTATTCAATGGACTAATTGTCTTCTGTCAGCATAAGGAAGTGTAGTGCATTTAATCTCACTTTTATATTTGAAAGAATGGTTCTTATTGTTTGGCGTGACTTCTAGAGCCGACAAGGGAATTTCTGCAACCTGACCAGGGGAATTAGGAGGTCTTTATGTACTTGAATTTCATGTTACGCATTGGTTAGAGGTATTTCTTTCACTCATATAAACATATATGTAGAGATGAAGAAAGTACTAAGTAAAGTCTCCCTAAGAAAAGTAGAAGTCAGTTGATGTAGTTGGCAGAAATGTGTCAGAATAATGTACTACTAAAGTACTACGTGAAGGGGTCTTAATAATAGAACATGATGACTTTAATTAGTCTTGCTGTTTGCTGCCGTTTAGCGTAGCTCATTATTTTGCTGGCTCATGATGTGTTTTGCTAGGCGTAAGGATGTTTGTGTTATTTTTAACGTCTTCTTTTGCAGAAGCCCACAATACGCCTGTTGGTAATATATCTTTTAAAACTTGTTGCGGTGAATAATCCCGCAGAATTATTAGTCTAGGGCATCCTTCACTCAACGATGAGCGCTGGTCCTCATTGTTTAAGTCGTTTTGTTAAGCTGAATGTACGTGCTGTTGCGTTACGTTCGGCAGTTCGTGGATGCATTCCAGCTAGTTGATCTAGCGTTATCCCACTACAATGCTGACCCTGGAATATGTCTCATAATTTGGACGGTCAACTTATTGTTTTGATCTCCCTATGACACTAGAAAGACAAGTATCTTGGGAGTAGCAGAGTAAATCCGTTTGCACAGCGCATATTCTGTGCAACTCTCAAAATCCCTCATCTCCAAAAAAGTGCTAGAGAATTAGGAAATACAATCATCAATGTGATGTGTATGACGTTCATAAACGTGTATGCGGGTCGTGTTAAGCGGGTAATTGCGGCATTTCGGAGAGTTATCTTCAAGCAACTGGTTCGGAAATATAAAAAGTAAAGACTAAATTAATACAAAGTACAACTAGCAGTTCCAGTGACAAGCAGTCTGTCAGTATTATCCCTAAATGTCACCATTAGGTACTGTGTTAGTTGTCCTCAGTTTCTAAACTGAGAGCTTCAGTACTCCAACAAATTCACTCCAGGTTCTCTCAGCTATTATATGAAATGCTAGTTGTTGTTGCAGTATTGGTTAATAGCGCAGCGAATGTATAGGGAATCAAAGAAGTTGATCAAATCAATCGAATCAGTGCTGTTTTGCTGTCAACAACCAATTCGCCCATCCTTGTGGACTGAAACACATGCTAGTCAGTGTAGTTTTCAAGGGACAAGAGCTTGAAGTTTGTACTACTCTATGATTGTGCATCTCCATAATCTCTCCCGATCATTGCTAATAAATGTACCTTTGAGCAGCCGTGAGAGTTATATTCTCCATTCGCTAGTTGCGGCGATGTTAAGAATAGCCTGACCAACAGATTAGGGAGGTCAGGCTAAAGAGTCAGCGAGTAGAATGACTAGAGTTCAGGTCTAACAAAGCGCATGACCATACAGCAATTGTTAGCGCTATTTCTGATCTCAGTGAACAAGGAGCTCCCTCGAAGTGGTTCAAGAAGCATACCTAATCGGTTTCCTTACTCAGACTAACAAATTAGTTACAGATTCTCGTCTGTGCCGGAAATTTTCTGCGATTACAAGCACCAGAAGTCTTCCCTCTTCGTGTTGTGTGAATTTACGAAGACTTATCACGAAAAATGTCCCCACTGTTACTTCCTAAGATAATAGTAAAGCCTTCAACATGGCGTACAAGATATATTTGGTCCATAAGAATGATGTGCATTGCTTCCTGCAGAGGTTCATTTCATGCATTTTTGAAAAAATTTCTCTCATTTCTCATCGAAATCTGGCACTGATTGTCTATCTTTATTAAGCGATGAGCAATCTTCCTGCGCAATCGCCAAACGTCTGCACTTCACCTGGAATGTGCACTAATATGAAGGCTGAGAGACTAGCTTAAGTGCTGAAACTGCTTTACCGGGACAAGCTCTTCATCAACACTGCTGCCTGTTATTCTACTGTTCTAACCGGCAATCCACCTGCGTAAAATCACCAACAAATAATAGACATGAAGGTCATCTTGGAGAGCCGCATTAAGGGAACAGAAGATTTCGCCTCCAACTGTATCTGTTACTCGTACCTCCGGCGGCGTCCACGTTGGAGGAACAGGAAGACTCACAGGGAAATTAATCTCCAAATGTAGCTACACTGCCTTGAACTTGTATGATTACGTGCTGTCAGTACTCCTTTACTTAAATACGTCCTGGAAAAGATGCAAGTATTACATCCATTCTTTAATTTGTCGGCATCAGCAGGGAATACGTTATCCAGAAGCGAGAATATAATTAAAGTTAGTCACACAATATTTGCCAAGATGTGCCAATAATGGTATCGGAAAAATTTGCTGTAGCCGCGAGATAACTCAGGAACTCAGAACACTAATTTGTGTATATAATAACCAACTCTGTTTCAACACAAGCAGTACTACAAGGCGGACGGAAAGTCAAAGATTTGTAAGTGTGTAAGGGTGACCTCTAGGTAGACTTTAACGTCAGCACCTACTAAACCAGACTTCCTTGGTTAACCCTTATGAGCACACTACCTACCGTGTGTGTACTGATGGATGAATTCAAAGTACAAGGCTTATGCACTGTTGTGTTTCCCGATATGAATTATATTTGTGTGACAAGCGAAAAACCAAAATTAAAATGTAGCAGTACTGTACAGTCAATCTGCAAACTGGCTGGGGTAGCAAGGTTGAAGAGTGGGCTTAATGATTGCACAACGGGGATGAGAGTATGGTGCTAGCAAGTTGTCGGAAGCCCATGCGGTGTTCACCGTCTGCCAATGTAGTTGAAGACTGAACGATCAATTCATGGTTGTTTGCTCAAACCCAACTTCATATTTTTCGCGGGAGTCATCATTACTTCAGTCATCGTCTCATCGTCCGCTGTTTGTTGGAAGAGAGAAAACTATCAGAAACTTTGTGTACAATAACCCAATGGTTGACTCTAAACCGGTGCAAGAATAAAGGGTTCTTGAGTCATAAATTCGCGTTCTGGTTTTTCGTGTTAGTTATTACTCATAGTTTCTTAAGGTTTCCAAAGACAGCGTGAGGTTCAGTGTAGTAGTGTAACAACAGAAGACAAGGACCAGGCAACAGATCGTTTTATTACGGAAATCAACACGTATTTATATAAATTTCACATACAGTATTATAGCTACGTCAAGTAGACAAACGCGGTCTTCTGATTGGTTGTTTATCTGAAGTTAAGCAGACAAACGCAGGCTTCTTTTTGGTTGTTTCGGGATTCCTCGAAAAGTAGAGTTCTCTATCTACGAATCATATTTTGTCACGTTAAGTCTACTGTGATTGGCTGTTGAATCAGCCTTGTACATATTTCCTCACGGACTATTGGAGGGTCTGATGATGCCGAGCTGCATCATGTGTTCAAATTCTGCCTTGGCTGCTGCCAATTTGTCCGGGGGTAATCTACGAGGACGAGCACGAACTGGTTGACCCGTAGTAACTATCTTGTGAGTGACTGTGTGAGGGACGTCCTCGATGTTGTACGACGGCTTAAGAATTTTAGGGAAACGATGAAGTAGGGCGGAAAAAGGGCAATCTGCTGGTCTTTCAATACTGATATTATAGACAGAATAGCTGGAGATAATTCCATGGATCTTTAGATGGGTGTTGTTATCAATCAGTTTTTTATTGTTGACGTCAACTAACAGGTTGAAATTACTCAAGAAATCTGCTCCGAGGATGGCGTGACCGACGTCGGCTACTATGAAAATCCATGTGAAACGCCGACGTAAACCTAGATCCAGTATGAGGGATTGCTCTCCATACGTCTGTATGCTTGTGTGGTTAGCTGCCCGGAGAGACAGTTTTCCGGGTGTCCGTGTAGATCGCCTGGATAGTGAAGGAGGGATCACGCTAACTTCTGCTCCCGTGTCTACCAGGAATAAAGTGTCTGAAGTTTTGTCCTTCACATAGAAGAGGCGACTTGTTTGCTTGCCAGTAACAGCTGTCGCCATCACTGTCTGGCTGAGGCGTTTCCCTGAGCCTGGTTGGCTTCGCTAAAGCTGCACGGTTTTACACATTTCAGGGCATGACGTCCAAACTTCCAGTGATACCAGCATATATTACTATCCCGAGAAGACGTGTGAGAACGCTGTCGTGAGAAGGATCGTCGTCGTGATGGTGACCTTCTTTGTGAACTCCGCCTCCGGACTCGTCGATCAGACCTATTAGTTTCCAACTTGTCAATCCTTGCCGCTAAGTCTGCAATGGCGGCGAGTATCGGTGTGTCTGCCGTGGGTGTGGAATGACACGGTGTGGCACTATCAGATGCTATGTGACTTATGGTGTTATTAGATAAAACATCCATAATACTATCTGCCATGTCACTTAGTTGGTCTAAGTCATACGACTTTCCTGAGATGATTAAAATTTGCTGGACATTTCTAGGTAAACGTTGCAACCACATCTGTTTCAGCACTACCTCGTCTACTTTATGATGTCCGATTAACTGGCGCATGTGCCTGAGCAGCTGGGATGGTTTACGTGGGCCTAGTTCACAGCCTGTGAGCAATTGTTGGATTCTTTTCTCATCCGACAAACTGGTACGTTGTATGAGGAGGGCTTTAAGTTTATCAAATTGATGTTCCGTCGGAGGATCTTCGATG